CTGAATCAATATGTGAAGGACATCACTGGTTTTGATATGGATTAGGAGTGTGACTTGAGGAAGTATTGTGTTAACACATTATGGCTGGCCAATAACCACGGTGTCATTTTTAACAGTATCATGTGATCTTCTCTGCTGGAGAGGCAGCGTGTAAATGTAGAAGACATTTGTCCTTTTATGGTCAATAATGTAGGTGTAGATGCAGAAGAATAAAACCATCTGTTTACCTAGAATTAGCAGATAGAGGATACAGTTGATCAGTTATGTATTATTTAGCAAAGGGACGAAAGACCAACCTACATTGTGAGAACTGAAAAATGAATTAGAATTTATAGATTTTTTCTTCCTTCCTTACCTCTTTTCCTCATTCATTCCTTCTTTTAGTTGGCAGGATTGATTTTTTTTTATTTTTTGCACTTTCTGTAATATGCTTGCATAGTTCAAATATTACTGGTTAATACATAAATACTTTTAGTATAGCACAGTTTGTGCTACTTATTAGCCAAAATAGCTAGATAAACCAAAATATAATTTTGACTGATTATGTTGTTGTTGTGTTGTGTGTTGTCAGGGCCTTTTACACTTGTTCAACCATTTGTGAGGTGGTCACTCCTCACAAACGTTCAAATAATCTGTTAATAATTAGTCACACCTCACAAATGTTCAAATAATCTGTTAATAATTAGTCAGTCTGTCATTGACATGATAGACCAATGAGAGCTGACCTAAGACCCAGATGATTTCCAAACCGGTGAAGCACAATTAAATGTTTTCTAAAACAATCAGTGTCAGTGGTGGATTACAAGGAGATTAGTGTTGAAGAGTAATGGATATGAGAACCAGACGGTTGTCGGTTGTCGCGTGTCAAGCTCAAATGCATTTAACAGTCAGTCATTCTGTCAACTACAACGACAGCTGGAACTTTTGACCTTCTGTTATTCTAAAAAGTTCTTAAAAGCCCACAAAAATCTTCATTTATATTAATATTCTAAATAAACCCTTGATCTAAGTTTTGAAACATATGCAAATTGTCTTTCACTTTAAGGTGACAACCTGCGTCTTTGTCTCGTCTCAGTTCTGAAATTCTGTTCCTTTCAAATATTCTTTCAGATTAAATTAAATCAGATAAATCTGGATCAGAACCTGCATCAAAGCATTCATATTTTTCTAAGGTTTGTGTTTGGTGAAGAAAACATGAGGTTTGCGCTGATTTCAACATTTTTCATTAAAAAAAAGATTAAATGGTTTTAAACAGAGCTTGGCGCTGCAGAGAGAGATGACGATGATAAAACTTTTGGAAGCTGTTTGAGACGACGGGAGACTTTAATCATTCAAACATGTTTGAATGAGTAACATCTTCTTCTTTTGTTTTTATTAGTTTCATTTGTGTTAGAAAGGTTGTATTTTTACCATCGTTAACAATTAATCCAACAGTTAATGGTTACCATTATATTAATGTTTGAAAGCTAACTCATTTTATCATGTATGTTAAAAAAAATTGGTCTTTGTAAAATTTAATTATAATTACATTAATTTTGTTTTCTTTTTATTCAGTTTTTTTTTTCTTTCACCACAGTGGTCAACCATATCTTCAAACCATAACCAAGAACGCACATGGTAACGGTTTTCACCATGGTCTTAAAAACAGATTACAGATTCTCTCAGTCGTCTTAATAAATTCATGAAAAAAGGCATCTTTGTTCCAACGTTGACGTGTGTCACAATGCTGTGGTTTGAAAGGGAAAAAGTTAATGTTAAATTAATTATTGTGTCTGACTTCAGTTAAATTAGTCTGTTTTGTTTTTCTGTTGTTGTTTCTTTTTTCTTTTTTTGTTTCCTTTTTCGCATGGCGTATGATTGGCCTTCAGCTCTGCTTTTTAAGTCTCTGTCTTTAGTCTCCGTCCCTGTCCGCCTGTCTCTAGCCTGTGGCTGCACTGTGATTCTCTTTGTACCGTCACCCCCTCAGATCACTCATTTAAGAACCGTCTTGGGTTTTTTTTTTTTTTAAAGAAGCGTTTAGAATGACTTTCTCAATAAGATGAGTCAATAAAAAACACTTGGTGAATCTCGTTTCATCATCCTTCTCTTTTCTACCTGCTCTCTGGCCCCTCTTGTCTTCCTTTAAAATATTGCTCTACGTGTGTCTTTGTTCCATCTAAAGGTGTCTTTTTAAAAGGTGCTGAATCCTGTTGAAAAACCTGACAGCCTTAAAGTGAGTGATCGGCGCTAATGCAGGCGAACGGCTTTAATCTGCTGGTGATACGGCATTGGCAAAAGCTGAGGTGGAAAATTGTATTTCTGCTCAGCTCTTCTGTAATACTAGAGACTAACAGTCCACAACCAGATTACAATCTGGGCTCCACCACAGGTCTGTGGTTTAGTAGGTGTCTCTTCTCCTCTGCTCTGTATTATAGGCCTGTGTTTGCAGCGATTCCATTTGACTTTTTCCTGTCTTTCTTTTTACCCCCACCCCCCGTCCCTCTGTTTTTTTCCTCTCTCTCTAACTTTCCGTTATCTAAGCTCTTTAATTAACACGACATGCTGTGAAGAGCGATACTAAATAATGCACACTATTTCAGTGACATTGAATCAGGCCAAGTGATTAGGGGCCACACAGTAACAAGGGCACACACATACACACAGACACACAGACACACACACAGAAGTCGATGAGCTACATAATCAGTAAACCTCCCTCCGACCATGTGCTCTTAAAACCAATTTATACAAATTGCTACTATATATCATCTAGTTTCCCATTAAATAAAATTTATAGTGGAGTGTGCTGGAAACGTTGTTAGCATTGATCACCTGTAGTTGTATAGTGATCAATATATTTTAATTTACCTATTCACTTTTTATTTCTATAGTGATCAATATATAATGACGATCAATATATTTTTTTTCTTTTAATTTACCTATTCACTTTTTATTTAGTCCAGAAATTAATCAATTGTAATCACTTTTACCAAATGCTGCGTTGACCCCAAAGCCAGTGAACCGTTTCTGTCACATTCATAGAACAGAGCACACAGGCCGCTGGAGTTGAATGTGTGAATATCTGTGCAGAGCAGTTAATTTGTGCTGAGAGAGAGTGAGGCTGTTCCAAGGCAATTGTTTCAGACCAAACCGAGTGGAAAATCCGTACTTGTTTGCTGCC